AAAGAGAAATGAGAATAATGAAATTACAAGATACAAAACCCGACTAGTGGCTCAAGGTTTCTCCCAAAGACTGAAAATTGATTATGAGGAAACATATTCTCCCGTAATGGATACCATTACTTTTAGGTTCTTAATTAGTTTGACCGTATCACAAGGGCTCGATATGCGCCTTGTGGATGTAGTGACTGCCTACCTATATGGTTCACTTGACAGAGACATACATATGAAAGTCCCTGAAGGATTTAAGGTGCCAGGAATAAATGATACATGTCTGAGAACTATATTATCAATTAAATTGCAAAAATCATTATATGGATTGAAACAATCCGGACGCATGTGATATAATCGCCTTAGCGAATATTTGTTGAAAGAGGATTATAAAAATGACGATATTTGCCCATGTGTTTTCATAAAGAAAACAAATATTGGATTTGCAATTGTGGCAGTTTATGTTGATGATTTAAATTTAATTGAAACTCCTGAAGGGCTCAACAAAATTGCAGATTATTTGAGAAATGAATTTGAGATGAAAGATTTGAGGAAAACCAAATTTTATCTTGGATTACAAATTGAACATTTTCCAGAGGGATTATTTGTTCATCAATCTACTTATACAGAAAAAGTCTTGAAACACTTTTATATGGATAATGCACATCCATTGTCATCACCTATGGTTGTTCAATCACTTGATATGAAAAAAGATCCATTTCGTCCACTTGAAGATGGAGAAAAGATTCTTGGTCCTGAAGTACCATACCTTAGTGCAATTGGAGTATTAACTTATCTTGCAAATTGCACTTGACCTGACATAGCTTTTTCTGCAAATCTCCTTGCAAGATATAGCTCTACACCAATTCAAAGGCATTGGAATGGTGTTAAACATATTTTTCGTTACCTAAAAGGTACTATTGATATGGGACTATTTTATTCTCAAAAGTCAGGATCTGCTTTAGTGGGATATGTAGATGCAGGTTATCTCTCTGATCCACATAAAGCTAAATCACAAACATGATATGTGTTTACACGTGAATGAACAGCTATATTATGGAAATTTGTGAAGCAATCCTTGACATCAACATCCTCAAATCATTTTGAGATTAATGTAATCCATGAAGCAGGGCGAGAATGTGTATGGTTGAGGAATATGACCCATCATATCCAATCATCATGTGGATTGACTTCAACAAAAGATGGTCCAACAATTTTGTTTGAAGATAATGCAGCTTGTATCGCACGACTTAAGGGAGGCTATATCAAAGGCGACAGGACGAAACATATTTCTCCAAAATTCTTTCATACACATGAACTTCAGAAGGATGGTGACATTGATATTCAACAAAATCGCTCAAGTGACAATGTGGCTGATCTATTCACAAAAGCGCTGCCAATATCTACATTCAAGAAATTAGTTCTTGAGATTGGAATGCGTTGACTCAAAGATTTTCAGTGATCAACATCAGGGGGAGTAACTGTACTCTTTTTCCTTCACTTAGGTTTTATCCCATTGGGTTTTCCTAGCAAGGTTTTAATGAGGAAGCATTTAATTTTAATACTCCAAAATAACTGTACTCTTTTTCCTTCGTTTGATTTTTTTCCCATTGGATTTTTATCAAACAAGGTTTTAACGAGATAGGTATTTTGTAATATGTCATTGAAGGGGGAGTATTATAAATAAAAAGTCCATTAAAGTTTATTAGTGAATGACATTTGTACCCCTGTAACCCTAGAAATTATTACCATTATATCCCTGATTCTTACCTATAAATATAGGACTTTGGTTTTCAATAATACACACAAAAGTTTATTGAGCTTTCTCTATTTTTTTTGAGTTTTCTCTATTCTCTTTTCCTCTCATTTTATAACAGTTCTCATTATTTTTATTATCCAAAAAATTTACTGTTGAGACTGATAATTCTCAAGTTGCAGGATTAGTTAAGAATAAACTACCATCAGAACCTCAATACAGAAGGCTCCATAGATTGCAAGCTTATTTAACATTTTATAACTTTGATATTGTCCATATTAAAGGAGTTAATATTTTTTTTTGCAGATTTTCTTAGCAGAAATATAGAATTTGCTGATGGATAAAACCAAGGTCACGGAATTATACCGATCCATCCTACATATACAAAAAAGGACAGATTTTCTTAAAAAAGAATCCGAAGATATAAACTCTGGAATAACCCAGATCTCAGAGATGTTCAACTCAAATATAAAAATATTGTTGAGTATCACTACTGAACATCATAAATATGCCATAGAACTCAAAAATCAAGTTGATGCTATTGCAGCACAACTAAAAGATATACTTACTGTCTGAGACAGATATACCAAAGAGTTCAGAAATGAGTTTTCCAAATCAATACCAAATAGGGACAGCTGGAAGCAGCAGTGGTCCCAGACGTGACAACATACTAACTGATAATAAAGGAGATTCTATTTCAGTATCATCAACCAAAAAGTTATGATACATGGAGATAAAAGAGATACCAAAACAATCAGCATCATAGACCAAGAAAATAAAATCCCTTTAGAACCAAAAGAAGAAAAATATGCCGAAATAGTCAAAATTGCTTATGAAATAAAAATGAGTGATTTATATTTCATCTCTCCGAAATATAATGTTTGTCCCAGAATAACAGCCATGGAAGGAGGAGACCCCTCATTTATAAAAATTATGACAGACTATGGATTCATGGATTTGACATATCCATGAAAAGATTTGATTGAAATTTCAAAGTTTGATGACATATTCATAAAAGAAGTATCCAGATTGACCAAGGGACGGAAAATATATTTGAAATTCTATTCAATAAGTCCAGAATACGATGGAGTTATTTACCATTCAGTTGAACACATAATCTCAATTGGATATGTTGCAGCTAATTTCCAAATAGATGTTACAGAAAATAATAGAAAAATTCCGATAGTGACAAAATCATGGATCAGGCATGGGAGAGCACTTGAAATTAAAGTCATCTACAATATTGCCTAAAAATTGTTTGATAAAAAATTTTCATGCTTGTGCCAAATATGAAAATTGGATGCTAGTATCCAATGGAGGATATGGAAAATCAGAAATTTTAAAGGACTATATTACAAGATTCGATATACATCAATTTCTAGGATGTCCTACTACTATAAAAGAATCCTACCAGCTAAGGGAGTGTCCCAACTGCATATAAAGAAATAAAGGAAGATGACAATAATAGAGCACCTTTGATAAAGGGATATGGAGAACAATAATACAGCTGCATGTGAAGACATTGAAAAAAGAGAGCAATAATAGAAAAGGATATTCTTTGAATAAAAAGTTGAATCAGCATGTGAAGATGTAGGCCCAAGGAGAAAAATAATAAAGAGATAAGTGTGTCTTTGTTGATGTACTCAATGATGTAATAGAGTCTCATAAACTTGTATAAATAGAGACATTGTCATAGACGGAGATCATGTCATCTTATCTTAAAATCTCGAGTTGTAAACAATAGTTACTCTTAAAATCATTTCCAGTTTGAAAAACCAGTTTTTTCTGTAAATCCCTTTGTACTAAATAGAAGTCTTGTATAAATAGAAATAAAACTCCAATATTTTGAGATCAATATGAGTTTTAAAATCTTTATTCCCATAGATTCTTGAAGGATCTAATAAAATGTTTCCTTCTTATTTTAGTAAAAAGAAAGTTTTTTTTTAACAGAAGTCTAGAATTTTATTCTTTAAAAGTTGATACAGTAAAAGCAAGTAGCTGAAATAGTAACAATTTCATGAATACAGGAGGTCGTTGAAGGAAGCAGTTTACAAATTCAGAGTTTGAAGGTCACTCAATTCTAAGAATAAAAGTCTAGATCAAATCTAAGGTAAAACTATTAAATTATTGCTAAAATTAGAATGAATCCTTTTAAGATCTTAAAGAATCGTAGGAATTAATCGATGATTATTTGTATGAATAAATGACAGGATACACAATTGAAGGATTAGATAATTTATTAGAAAGAATGTTAGAAAAAATAAAGAATATTATTTCTCAATTAGGAAATATAAATTTGAAGAATATAGTATTTTAATTAGAAAATATGAAATATATGTTGCAAATTATTCTTATTTGTTAGATCATAGAATGGATTTATATTCAAATATTAAAAATAGAAGATAAAATGTTTAAAAAATTATGATATATATTGCAATATAGAAATAATAATTTCATTAAGGGTAATATATACCTTTCAATAAAAAGGAATAATGATAGGCCAAATAAAAAAATCTCCCATAATAATTTAGCACTAGTAATTTTTAGGGAAAATTGCAGCAGCGGTCCCTAATATTTTCATTTTTTACAAATTTTACCCCTATCCTTCATTTTGCGTCAACGAATGTTTCTAACCTTTCATAAATATACACCTAAGATCCATCTGAATGGAAGGTGTCCAAAACACCGTCAGTTGACATGGAGTTAAGGAACCAACGTCCAATTAAAACGTCCAAAAATATCATCTAGAAAGGTATGAACATTCAATAAAATCATCACGGTAGCAAATAGTTCAAGAAATTTTTCCGGTCAATTGACGGTATTTCGGACGATTTCCGTCCAAGTGGACTTCGGTGCATATTTATGAAAGTTTAGGGACCTTCGCTGACATAAAATGAAGGTTAGAATAGAGTCTGTAAAAAATAAAAATGTTAGGGATAGCTGTTGCAATTTTTCCTAATTTTTATATTAATAATTTCACACCAGTAATTTTTAAATAAATAATTAGTTAAAAAGATTTAAGATTTTGAAATCTAATTCTAATGAAATTTGAAACAAAAAATCTGAATTCTATTTTCATTTTCATAATAAATAATTTTAATATTATTTTTGTTATTTTGAAAGATATGAATTTAAATTAATGAATTTGTTTAAATAAAATCATTCAAAATGGCTAAAATATTTTTTAAAGAAAAATTATTGAAAATAATAGATTCCATAATTTGTTACATAATCTCATAAGATATAAAAGTAGGAATAATATCAAATACATCCCTCAACTAATTGACAATAGCAGAGACAACCCGCATGTTTTTAAAAATTACAAAAACTCCTATAAAATCACTTTATAAGTATAATTTGAGGAAAGCAACAAATGACTGAGTTGTTTCTTCATTGAGTTACTTTCTAATGCATACAAATGGCAAAACAAGAAAATCCTTTAGAAACTATTGATTGATCGTCCATTATTCTTCAAAATTGCTACTCCTTTCGCAGCGGTTTTATTCATGTTGGTGCATTATGTCGAGCTTCACAACATCAGCTGTGCACTTTCTGCTGAGAATCCCCCCGCCCCCTAGCAGTCGACCCTTATTCCCTTTCATCCGGAGCTGCCATAACTAGGGATTATCATGCTATACTTGCGGGGAAGGAAAACGAGCAACTTATGCTATAGTAGCTACCGTTTTACTGACTCTAGTATTTACTGGTGCATTCTCCTCGAACAAGTATCCTGTTGTACTACAGCTATTTGCTACCTCCTCAAGCATTCTCGGGGTACACCAAAATCCTTTTTGGGAAAGACAACCTCTCGTCTCCAAGGATCGTTATGTAACTTGTAGTGCAAAACCTTGTCATATATTCAAAAATCAGTTCAACTATTATCTGATGATAATTTAAAGGTTTAAATTTGAAATATATATATAGCAGCAAACGTGTCGCTTGAACCCTTAATAGAGATATAATGAATTTGGTGTATAGATTTCAATTCACAACCTCGAATAAGCTATAGCTTCACCTAGGATTCATTAGCCTTGATATCTTTGACTACACAAAAGTATTGAAAGGCAACTCACCTAATTGCTTAAACTACGTTACTTTATCCATCAGGGAGGAACTTATGTACTGCGTCTTCAGTGAATAATAGCCTCGGTTGTTAATACAATTAGATTATCAAGTGAATAATAGCCTCGGTTGTTAATACAATTAGATTATCAAGATAACTTCATGTCATGTTTCCTTTTCTAAGTTAAAAAGAACTGTAAAAATTGCTTACAAGAAATTTCCAGGTGTAGATTTTACCTGTATGAGTGTGGCAAAGACATCATCTTCACTTAGTTCTGAGAACTTCCGAGCCCAGTCCTCAACCAATCCAAGTGTAGCATTTTGTCTCTCGGCTTCAAGTAAAACAGAATCACGATACAAGAATCTCTGCCAAATCTTCCTCACATTTGCCAACTTGAATTCGACCTCTGTCTCGTTAAATCTCTACATGAGTTAAACACTAAATATGTCAAATTCGGCAAGCTTTAAAGAAAAATTTCCAGAAAGTATGATGTAAGTTCCATATATAAACAGAAGACTGTAAGCAAATACCCGCAGAATGTTTATCAAATTTGGAATATCATCTTCATGAATTCTAACGGAAAAGCTTTCAAGGTTGAAAACATTCTCATATGGCAAGTAGATCCCATCCTGGAAGATTGAAAACTAGTATTTAATTATAAGCAATTAAATTCGATGAATAAATGACATTCAAATAAGATACATACAACAGCAACAACTCAAAAAAACTTGTCGCTTTCAAATGGTGGTATACGTCCCCAAAAATCACAACTAAATATTGAAGTGTATGCCACAACCCACAACTAGCAATTTATTTGGCAAACCATGAGTTGACAAGTAGAACATGGCTTGTGCTGAGCTTATGATATATACACTTTTCTAGTAAGAGGACATTTTGTTAAGCTTTAATGGTTCACTTACAAGTAAATAAGTTTTAAAATAAGATTTTTCTTTATTGATCAAAATTAGAAATGAGTATGTTAATTTTGAGAGTACGGTTAGAGTTACTTTCAAAACAAGTAACATGTTTGGAAACAAAAAGCTAGGTAACTTTTACTTATTTAAAGCTTGGCCAAAATTGCAATTGTGCATGGAATAAGTGCCAAGTAGGGGACCTGAATGACCACGGGGATGCAGCCTTGCAGAATGCTATCTTCCATTCGGCCGCTCCATCCATCTCCAGGCATAACCCCACAGAAAACAGAACTTGCCAATTCCTCATTATAATGATCAGTACGCAGCGGAGTTACAACCACATCTTCTGCATGTTGTTTCCCAAGCTTTCCTTTCTTGTTAGGACTTGAACCAAACTCTTCAGCAACTTTCTGCCTTATGCCCATGCTATACCTGAATATCATCACCACCTAGCCAATCAAATTTCGTATATAATCCAAATGAAGTATTGAGACCATTTGGCAAACTGGAAATTCCAACCTAAAAATTCATGCTACCTCCAACATCATATCAGATAATTTTGCAGCACATATTACAATATCAGCGTGTTTAACTAGCTTACGTTGCTTCAGGTCTTCCATGTTCATAAGCCGGACCAAGATTTCCATTAAAATAGAATAGTGTCTTCCGCTCCTTGCGAGGCCTGCACAAATAATATCCTTTGACTATAATCATTTAAGTGTAAACAAAAACAAGAATTAACCATATGATCACAAAAGCACATGTAGGACTCAATCCATTAATCCATAATGATCAATGCGGGTACCTGGCCCAAAGTTTAGAATTCAGGGAACCTTCATCAGGCTGCTTCCAGGCAGGAAGTACAAGGTCTTTATGCGGATCAAAGCATGGATGATTCCCTCTTCTTTGAGAAGAAATCTGATTCCAACTATCAGCCCCATATGCTGTTGTTGAATAGTTGTACTTTGAATTTGTATTGCCCCAGTGGACTAACATCATACTGTTCCATATTTCCTTAGGTGCATAGCAAGCACCTTCATCCCATGAAAAGGACTGCCTTGAGACACATAGACAACATCATTAGTTTGGAGATAAAGAATTTATTTTTTTTAATTTCACGTACAGGAGATAGATTCTGCAGTTCTTCACACAAAATATCCGCAGTATTGTATTGAATAGTGGCATCATACCCAGATGTGATCTCTTCCAGATGAGCGGTTCCAGTAAGGATATTGCACCATTATGTGATCATATGCTTTCTTGTAGAATTCTAGAGCTAGTGAACTTCTTAACCCCTGGTGATCCTGGAATGGGATGGAGACATAAGGGATTCCGTAAAATTCGTAATTTCAACGCATGCAACATATTCTACAACCAAAATAATATAGAATGCTTATAGATCATATTAAAAAGAAATAGGTGGTATAGAATCTCCATATCCTATTGCTTACTTATAAGGGTATCTTTACCTTCATACTCAAGTGTGGAGCATCATCAGCACGAGTTATGATACACATATCAAGCACTGGAACAAAGAAGTAATCTGCTTCGTCGCCATTTAATGTTCTATAAGGGCTCGCTAATATACTTTCATAGATTGCCATCTGCCACAAGAAAGCCCTTAGATCATTATTATGCGCTTAATAACAATATTTTTATTTAGTAGTATCGCCTAGATCCAATGATACCTGTGCACCATACAGATGATCGGTCCATATTGTAGCATTCCTATGATCATAGATTCTATTTACACACTCGAACTTGAAGTGTCGTCCCTGCAATGACAAGAAAGTCAATAGAAAAAATGAGTGTTCTTTATACAGATAGAGAAGGCACAGAAGGGATTTACCTCTAGGAGAAGACTATTGAAGTCAGGAGGCAAATCATAAACATATATAAGGGGTCTGTTCTTTTCAACTATAGCATTAAGATTGAAAAGATTTCTCAAGGTTCGTGAACTATCTGGAACATTAATACGTGCAGGTCGAAGCCACCTGGGCCACTCTCTAATGGATGATAAAGCAGATGGAACACTGCAATCCACTCCATACCAGCCATGTTTACACTGCAGATATACAGTTAAATTGTGCATTTATTAGAATACTATTGTCCCAGATTCAACCGAAAACCCTCCAGGCATAACATTTAACAGAAGTTTTATTATGAGTAAAAACTATAAAGTAGAAAAATAGATAATTACATAAATAAGAACACATACAAATATGTGTACAAACCCACGCACATATTCAAACAACAAAGTGTTTGAAGCTCTATCTCTGCACTCAATAGTAAAAGCTTGCTTATAATGAGATAACAATGTGAATCAACCAAAGAAATTATGTAGAATGTGATGCTTAATTCTACCTGACAAAACCCACCCCGGCACTGTCCATTGCCAGAGCATTGATTTATACAGACACTTTCTACTGGTGTTTCACAGAATCGACCCCAAAGACCATCATACTTGCAATCGCATTCCTCTTTAAAATGCACCTTGGAGGCATAGGCTTCAGCAGGATCCACGTTACACCATCCTCGTATACTAACGTTGGTAGTGAAAATATCAAGATCAGGTTTTGTCCAATCAATCAGAGATGGAGCACCAGGTTGACTAGGCAAGCTATACCATTACAAAACAACTAATTACTAAGGCGCTCATCAATCGAATAAATATAGCAGTATGCATTATAAATTTACATGTGCTTACTTTATTCTAAACCCACATCCCTCAGCAACAGGACGATTAGGGTATTTTGTGCCTTCTCCACAAAAGCACATGGCTCTGGTAGTGTCACAGTGAGCCGAGCAAATAGACACAAGCCAATGCCCATATGGCTCATCTTTTGATCCAGGGTAGTTGCAGCTTAAATTTAGTCTTTCTAAACATCCTTCCCCTGCCACCAGTGATTATCATCGTTACAACTCCAAACATTGGAATTTAGATAATTTAGAAAATGAATTGTTACTTGGGGATATCAAAGAAACGGATTAGCATAATATTTCAGGAATTAAATGATTAAGCAATTGGATATGCGCAAAGATACCGTCATTGGGGGGAAAAATATGTGAAGAAATTACTTTTTGAGGCAAAAAGCTATCAAAAAGGACTAACCACTGAAGCCGTGAAAGCAGTTGCATTGACTCAGTTCATAATTACAAACGCCCTGACCGCTACACTCGTTTTTGCAGCTGTTGCCACCAATTTTCTGGTCACAGTTTACATAGAGTAAGCATAACTGATCTCCAAAATCTAGAATTTGAAACAAACATGTAATTGCTAGAAGGGTAAATCAATTTGACATAAGGGCTCAAGAGTTTAACCTCTAGATGTGAGGTTAAAATACATAATACAAACAAGAAATTCAAAAAAATATATATCCCTGAAGTTCATCAGGTACAATACCTCAACAATTTTCACCACTTTGGTATTCGAATTACATCCAGATAACCATCGTCCAATTTCAGCTTTCCACGGAGCACCACGATGAGAAACAGCATTATGCAAGTCAGCTGGAAATTGGACGTTTAAATCAACCATAGGCTGCAAGTTTTGACCAGTGTCCTCATTGCTTCCTTCAATTGACCCATTTACTGGAAATGTCAGCTTGCCACATCGAATGGGTCCATTAATAGGTGTGCTTTTCTTGATTTTCTCAGTGGATCCATCTACTGGTACACAAGAAGTATGACCCTGACTGAGGCTAAAATAGTCAGGAGAAGGAACCACGGGATATAGGAAAAAATGAACAACCGAGAGTGATGCAAAAATCAAGGCAATAGTTGCTGCCAGGGTATATGAGCACTTCCATTTCTGGATACAAAACATGACCCTGTAAACCCTTCTCCTTCAAATCAAAATATCATATTCCAATATGTTCCTCTACTCTACAAGCTGTTGATAGACTGTCAAGATATCAACTACTACTCAGCCTTCCAAAAAACAGAGTCCTATAAATAAGTAAGCAAATTAAATGAATTTGACAAAATAATCACAAACTCATCAAAATATACATTACAAGAATAACAGGAAAAGTAAAAAATAAATCCCATTTCCACAACTCATTAAAACCCTAGTGTAACATCATGACCGTCGTGAGAATCGTACAATAAATTTAAAAGGCAACATTTTTATAACCGTAGTATTCAATAAAAAAAGGGATGGAACGGAAAAACACTGAATATGTCATGAAATGAAAGATGATTAAATAACAGAATAATTCAAATTGCTCAATTCAACATATACAAACAATTTGAAACATTCATTAGATCTACTAAAGCTATATTCAAAGACTCAATAACCTAGACAACCATTGCATATAACCAAAAGTCATACAAAACCACATAATTAGAGGTAAATTTCAATATAACTGAAGACTCATTAACGCTAGAGCAGACCGAGAGAGATTGCCAATTGACTATGGGAAAATTCTCAGTTTTCAGGTGGACCCATGTGGAAACTGATCAATATAAACCTATAAATACAAGAATGTACATGGTGTAGTTTAATACAAATTTATATACACAGGTATGACGTGTGAGAGAGAAAATGTCATAATCAATGTGGAAGCAGCCAAAGTTCGAACAGAATGAGCATTGAAAAGTGGGAATTTAGAATTTACTTTAAGAATTTGAGGGTAAAAACCAATAATTGGTGGAAAGAGCCTTCTGATATCTATTAGCCATTGTTGAGAATAGAAGGGATGCGTAACAGTAAAAACGATAAAGATTTATTTATGTAAATAAGTCAAAAAGTAGCATATTTTTTTTTAAGCTTCTATTCATAATACAATATATAATTGGGTTAATTAAATGATTACTGAACTTTATTAATTATTGCTATTTAATAACTGAATTTAATAATATATCTCAAAGGTCATTGAACTTTATCAAATGTTACAACTTCATAAATGAATTTTGAAAGTATATCTCAATGGTCATTGAACTATACACTTTGTCATTCATCCATCACTTAAAATGAAAAATTTGTAAGGTACAACAAAACGGCGTCAACTTGAGTGATAAATGAGTAACATGGTGAATAGTTCATTGACAATTGATATACATTTTTAAGTTCATTTATGAAATAGTAACGCTTGGCAAAATTTGGTGACCATTGAGATATGTTTTTAAGTTCAATTATTGAGTAACAACACTTGACATAGTTCGGTGACGATTTAGATATATTTTCGAATTCAATTATAAGTCCCTCAAATCGACCTCTATGAAAGAAGAAATCAAAGAAAATGAATGGGAAAGAAGAGTAAATAGAAAATCAGAGACCTAGATCGTCGAAGAAAAATAAATTTTTTGTTGATATCCATTCTAAAATAAATGGATGACATTATTCTTCGTCTGATAGTTTTGTTGCACAAATGGAAGATATACGATTTATTGTGAATGATTTACGGAGTCATTAAATCCTTGACTAGTATATTCCATTTATCGACAACTATCACTTCATTCACTTGAATTGTCGGATTATTTAGTTCATTGGCCATTTCTTGTTCTTGTTTTTAGTCTTTTTGTTGTTGTGCTCCTCTTACGTTACTTTACCTACGGTAAAAAGTACATTTGATTTTTGGGTCAATTGGTATTTGTTTAATGTATCTCAAAAATTCGCTTAAAAAGATTGAAAGATAGATAGTAGGAACACTAAAATAAATTGATAGAAAAAAATTAGATAAAAGTGCAAAAATTTTCGAATTAGTGTCAAAGCAACTGAGGTTGATTTGATTTTTCATTTTTTTTCTTTATTTTCTTCTTTCAATGGTATCTATCTGAGAGAAAAATAAATTGTTACACTTAATAATCGAACTTAAAAATGCATCTCAATGATCATTGAAATTTGTTAAGTGTTAATACTTCATAATTAAACTTAAAAATGCATCTCAATAATCACTGAATTATATATCGTGTTACACATCTATCACTCAAGTTGAAGCTATTTGTTAAACCTAACGAATTTTCTTATTTGGGTGATGGATGAATAACACAATGTGTAGTTCAGTGGCTATTAACATAAATTTTTAAGTTTGGTTATGAAATAATAACAATTGGTGAAGTTTAGTAGCTATAGAGATACATTTTTAATTTCAATTATTAAGTTCTAACACCTTATAAAGTTCAGCGATCATTCAAGTAATTAACCCATATATAATTGATCAAGAGACCAAAAAGATTCAAATTTAAAAAAAAAAAAAAAACACTTTTCATTATTTTCTAACATTTAAGCCTTACCAAATCGTCTATAACTACGTTTTGAAATATATCAAGGTTTTAATTTTTTCCTTACAATTATTTGTTTGTTCTAAAGTCGTTGAAATTTGTTTTTCAGTTCAACTTGATCATTCCATTAAATTACGATAGTTTTCCTCACACAATTTGTGACATGAGAGATCTCCTTGTTCAGTCAGGTGTTAAAAAAAAAAAAAAAAAAAAAAAATGGAAAATTTTTTATGATCATTTTAAAATAAAAAAAGTTTGGTGATTAACGTAAAACGAGTGTTTTGTAACGTTTTCAAGTCATTTTTTGTCGATACATTTCATAAAATTCATGAATATTACTCACTTATTCACAACTCGTTTCTAACTAATTATAAACAAAATCATTGGATCATATTGCCTTTTTTTTTTCTCTTTATTGATCATAAACTAGGGTGCTAAAGACTCAAAATTTAATTATTCATAAACACGCAAATAACGTAATTAAGTAATTGGAAAAGTGATTTAAACAATGACAAATTCTGTAACACAATCACTTAAGACATTACAAATAGTGTCTAGCGAGGATGTGGAAAGATTTGATGTCACTGATCTTTTGATACGTGTAAAGATTAAATGAATTATAAGGGAAAAATTCCAAGTCCACGTGATATGACAATTGATTTGTTATTTGAAAGCGAATTCTTCAATCATCGATGACCTTATCTCAAAAAAATTGAGGTGGATATGATGTATTTAGCATTAATTTAATTAACAATTCGTTCACGAAAAGTAATTCAATCTCGTAAAATCACATTATGTGGACATACAAAGTGGAATTGAACATATTCAAAAATAAATAAATAAATTGTTAGCCTTTAAAATTTTGGCATAAAACTCAAGTTTTTTTATCATCGACTATAGGTTATTGTAGGATATGGTTCACAATGATTAAAAAACTTTAAAAAACAAGATTATGATCATCATGACACACGACACGTGAAGCGTGTTTAGTACTATTACTACATACTAAACAGACTAGATAAAACAAAATTAACTATATTTTACTTGTTTAATTTCTTAATATCATCTAGGACTATTCACCTCATCAAACATACAATTAAGATCTTAAAATTACACATGACCACCAACAAACCAAGTATTTTATGATAGGCAGAAGGTTGTATAACCTGTTTCGTGAAGACATCATGAAATAGCATCTTACAAGTAAGGAGGCAAAAAGGAAGACTCTTACTTGTTGACTACGAGTCGGTAAATAGATGGAATTTTATAATTTCTTGCAGGCCTGACTGGCCCTTGAGAGTCTTTGTTTAACAAGAAGTTTATGAATATGTTTGGGAGTGATTTTGAAAATTAATTTTTTGACTGTTAGAAAAAAAATGGGGTCTACCTGTGAGAAAAGAAGTCAAATATGACGGCTGTAATAGTAAAATAATGGTCAAAAAATCAATTTTTTGGGTGAAAAAATCGCTTTCAAACAGGCCATATAACATATTATGCCAAAATTTGCAATAGAACACAAAATAAATAGTTAAAATTTTCCTACAAGTTTTGTGTTAAACTTCTCAACGAAAAATTAATTCGATTAGTATACAAGGGAGCGTGATAAAAATAAAATAAAAATAAGGTTCTCACATATTGCGACCAATTTTTTTGACAATCTAGGTTTTTAGAGAACCTGTGCTTGAATTTTAGTTAGAGAAATTACAGGTTCAAATAGATTAACTCGGTGGGAATTACGCTTATGTTCGACTATGAGAATTTTGTTTCAATCTAGGCCCCGTTTGGGAGGGATTTTGAAAATTAATTTTTTGACCGTTAGAAGAAAAGTGGGGCTCACTTATGAAAGAAAATGTCAAAAATTACGGCGAAATGGTGAAATAACAGTCAAAAAATCAATTTTTTGTGGTAAAAAATCCCTTCCAAATAGGCTGCTAGTTTTGTCCACTGGAATATTCTAATGATATTATATCACTCTGGTAAATGAATGGTTAGAATCTACTTATATCTGTCTACATCAACGGGAAAATTGTATATGAAACCATTTCGGAGCTAGATTTACAAGTTACAACAATGGAAATGAAGTGATTTATATTAAAAAAAAAAAGAAAAAAGTTGTATGCTTGTAAATTGCAAGTCGATCCCAATTTCTTAGATGAAAATCAAATCTAACTCATAGATATAATGATGGCTACTAATCTAGCTTCTCACTGAACAAAATGGTTTCAAAATGAGGCTATATTAAGTTTTGATGTTGATGGGATTGAAAGAGATGTATTGCGAGAGTCCAGCAAGTTTGGTTAAGCAAAAAGTATATAAAAATACCACTTCTGTGTGATTTGTATGCGTAATTAGCACAAAATATCATCATCATTTGTACTCATTGCGCAAATTATCCTTGTCGTTTTAAATTTGACATTTGCACCCTCATTTTCAACATTTTCTTGCAGAATTAGTCATTTTCGTCTCATTCCATAAACTCTAATTGCAATTTTTTTTTCTTTCTTTTCTATTATTTATTTAAAGAGAAGGATAAATTATTCATTTTACAACGCTTTAATGAAGAAAATAGATAATGATTTTTTGCGCGAAAAAAAACGATTTTGAGGCTCCAAATGTCAAAATTGAAATGATAGAGACGATTTTTGCAATGAAGATAAACGAAGTGGATGTTTTGTGTCAATTACCCATATTTGGTGGAATTACTTGAAGAAAATGACCAACTCTACAAAAAAATATTGAATGAGAGTGTTAGTGTCAAATTTGAAATGAGAATGATGATTTACGCAATGAGTACAATTGATGGGATACGTTGTCTCCTACTTTTTGTTTCTTTTTATCTAAAGGGATATACGATGGATTGACGAAAGTACCTCTTAAAGAAGATATAGTGTGTAAGGCACGTACCACCTTGACGGAAAGCTGACTCCTTTGTTCTAGCAGGGACCTTTGTCTTGGAACACAACACAAATGTTGCAAACCCGGACCATAATTTATTTTTAATTTCCCTGCAACACTGGGAGATAAAATAACCTTGAGATTTGAATTTCATGAAAATATGTTGAATATTCATATGATAAATGACATCCTTCTTTTCAAATCATGCAACACGGATGCTAATTTTGTCAAATTAATCAACATAAGCTAAATACAACGATTGGCCAGCTTCATACTACACATGAGGTGGCTTTCGTACCAAGTTAGTCGAAGATAGAGTTTGGATAGAAATATGAAATGAAATAAGTACTTATTTTTAGTATCTCCAAAATTCCGTCCCTCACACACTATTCTTGTTATTGTCGCCAAGCCACAACCAATTTTCCCAACTCCAACCAAATTAATAATACCAATCTAGCGCTCCAAGATACTTTAAGTTTTATCCGTATCCATCAGTTATTATTTATGAATCTTCAAATTATTTTCATTTCACATTGGGGCCGGTTTGAGTCACACTTTCTGGAAGAAAAAAAATACATTTTTAAATATTAATTTGACATCACATTTTAATCACACATTATTCAATAAAATAATATTATACATAAATTCAAAATTTTTCTTTATTTTTTAGTCCAATATTTCTCATCAATATACTATTCAAAAATACATTTTGTGGAAAATAATGTGGCTCAAACAAGGGTTGGGTGATAGCATGCTTACACAGTTACATTATCCATTTCAGGGGCCGTTTGAGCCCTATTATTTGTAGATTATAATGAGATGAATAGTATTTTTTTGAAAAATGAGTGGTTGAAAAGTTTTTGAGTTACGTGTAATATTATTTTATTGAAGATTGTGTGGTTAAAAGTAGGAGAGAAAAAAATTTAATTTAATATAATGAGAAATAATGGGGTTCAAACGGGGGCTCAGTCAGCACTGGAGAGTGACTCATTTTGAATAAAATATGATTTATTCGAAGTGAATAACACTTTTCATTTTTGATTACTTTCAATGGAGGAGATTGTTCTCCTTACCAAATATATGCAAATCCAATTACAATCTTATCATAAGAATAAGAGATGGACACCAAGGGTTTGTTTAATTGTGAAGATGAAATTTGGGTGGAAAGAAAATGAATTCCAGGAATTGAATTACCTAAAAATTGTTTTCCTGAGAATTGTAAATTATTGTGTTTGATTGGTATAATTTTTCATGTGAAAAATGTTGAAGTTAAAGTGTTTTTTGGTGTTCGTTTGACTTTATTTTACATGAAAATTGTCAATTTAAGGAATATCCACTTCTACCATTATTCATAGAATTTGTTTCCATTGCCAACAAAAAAAAAGGAAAAAAAGATCAAAAAATATCTATATTTTGGTATTCGTTTGATTTTGTTTTATATGAAAATTGTCAATTTCAGGGATATTCTCATTTACAATTGTTCATAGAATTTGTTCCCAATGCTAACAATAAAAAAAAGGTGGAAAATCAAAAATTACATACCCATAGAAAAATAAAAGGTGAAAAATCACGCTTTTAAGGTGTTGTACCTAGAAATTCATGAAAAATCAATTCTCTGAAAAATTTTGTCAATCAAATAGGCCAAAAATGAAAGTTGGAATTCGAATTATAGTTTTATGAAAAATTTCGTCCAATGAAATGTACAATCCCTCGCACGTTTAGATTTTCATTTCCCCCGTCATTTATTACACTCAACCTCCCACTGCTCTCAAATAAAAACTAAATTAATATATCATTTTACTATTCCAATTTTTTCTCTATACTTGTAGTCTGAGATTGAGGGATTACGAGGATATGGCTTTCGCGGCGGCAGTTGTTATTGTGCCGTTGGGTGTTCTCTTTTTCCTATCTGGACTTGTCGTCAATTTAATTCAGGTCATGTATTTACCTAATTAATTTAACCACGACCACATCTACAAGATTAAAAATTGAAACTTGTTATGTTTTTTTAGACGCTGCTTTGATTTATTTGAGCTAATTAGTGGCTAATTAAGCAGGGTTCTTTCTAACCCTAGTTGATTTGCTACACGATTTTTTATGGTTTCTGGGTTTTCTACTTTCTATTTGATTTTTCTTGAGGGATAAGCTTATGGTGTTTTGTTATAAAGATTTGTTATTTTTGCACGAAATATTCTGTATTCGAAGAAATGTGACAAATTTTATTGGGGGGGATTTTTCAGGCAGTATGTTTTGTGCTAATAAGGCCATTGTCAAAGAACACTTACAGGAGGATAAATAGAGCGGTGGCAGAGCTGTTGTGGCTCGAGCTCGTTTGGCTGGTTGATTGGTGGGCTGGAGTTAAGGTGAAGAATCTAAAATTGTCATTGAACTTTTGATATTACATCATTGTTGTACCTATTGACCAAGCCTCTGATACAGTGCGTAAAGTTCTTTTAGTCTTGATGCTATGTTTGTTGGATCTGAACTTATAATTTCAATGAAAGTAAGATGTCACACTGCACAATGGTATATAAAAGTCTCCTTTGTACTAGGTCATGGTTGAGCAATCCATGCCATTTAGATATTTATTTCTGTTGCACTTCTGGGATTTCACATCTTCATTTACTCAATGACTCAATAATTTCCGGACACTGAGATTTTTAGCAGAAGAATTTTTTTATTTCTAATTCCAGCATTTTTGTTCAATTATAAGAGTTTTTTTTATGAGATCGTCAAGCATACAGAGAAGATTTTGAGAGCTTATGTGTTTTCAGTGCTAGTAATGATACTGGCAAAATGGATGAAGCACTTTCACATCTCTGTACTGTCCATTGTGGTATGAAGAATAGATTTATTATTGGAAATCAAGATCATAATAACTGTAGATGTCATGCATTGGAACCCATGGTTATGGAGACCTCTTTTCTCGATTTCCGAAGGACGAAGCTTGCACTTTAGGTGGAAGCTTGTGGAGAAGTTGAGCTTGGACCCTAGGAGTTTGAACACTTTCCAAATATCCAGGATCTCAAATGAACTTAGTTACTGTCTATGTTAAGAGGGATTAATATAATTATTGATTCACCTGGGAAATGCAGTCTCTAAATATGGAATTGCTTTGATGATCTAGTTATTTTCATCTTTACACATGTTTTTCCAGAGCTCGTTAATATCTGAAAATTGTTGGGTGTCTCTAACATCAAGTGCAAAGATAGGCAGATCTATAGCTGTAAATTCTGTTTACTTTAAAAAGTTTGATGCTGTAGCTCGATTTATAAGGCTTAAACATGACTCAGTGCTAATGCGGCTATTTTTTTTTAATTTTTTATTTCCTTTGATGAGCAACATCTTAGTTAACTAATATATTTGTTAGACTACTTGAGAAATTGAAATAAGCTATATGAGATATTAGCTCATTTATTTTTTAAATTAATGACTACAATTTGTCTTTATCATTATGTAATTTGGCACTCAGAGCTTCAGCCTCAAGACATGGTATGGTCAATTTAGTGAGCTCTTGGACCTGGATGTAGATTGTTCTGAACGAATACATTCGCTTAGTTTTTTGCTTTTACATTCAATATTTTGCTTTTATTTTCTATATGTAAAGAAGCTATTTAGTTTGTGATTGTATTCTGTTATGTTTCTAAATTGTATTTGACAGAGTTAGTAATGTGAAGATACTCCCTATATGTTCTTCAGGTGGAAGTTGAATCACGTAACTATAGTTCATTAGCCAGTATCCACAACTACAGACTTCAAAGTTTTTAGTTGTCATTGTAGCTTGTTTATTGATCTCCTAGATAGAAAATATGGGAATTTCGTAATGATGTGTCATTCTCTCTTAGCCCCCATTTGGCCCCCATTTTCTAGAAATGAAAATGGGTGGAATAGTGTTTTTTTTTTTTTAAAATGAGTGGTTGAAGGAAAAGTTTTCGATTTATGTGTAATGTTATTTTATGGAAGATTGTGTGATTGAGAATAAGAGAGAGAAAAATGAAATTGAACGGAATGGAAAATAATGGGGGCCAAACGGGGGCTTAGTTACACCATTGTCTAGTTAGAAATGGCGTGATATCTTATTTGTTTAGGGAAACAGAAGAATCCCCTTTTTAATTTTGAAATTTTATCATTTCTTCAGAATCATCTGACAGTCTAATCTCTCACATCTTCTGATTGCAGATCCAATTGTACACGGATTATGAAACCTTTAAATTGATGGGTAAGGATAAAACTTATGTTTCTAGAATTCAATTCACTTGCCTGGTAAAATATGAAGTACGCAGCTTGTCACACTTGAAAATTATTGAATTACATGCTGGTGAAATTTCTAGGTAAAGAACATGCACTCGTCATATGCAATCATAGAAGTGACATTGATTGGCTTGTAGGATGGGTTTTGGCTCAGGTTAGCAATCTGATTGTTGCTTCTGCACGGCACTGCATTTACTCATGCATATGGGAAAATTTCTGTATTCCTTACTTTTATTATAAGTCGCAACACACTTTGCTAAAAAATAAATATGCTTTATTAGTAACTGATGTCATCTAAGAACCTCAGGTTTATATATCTGCTCAGTTCTTGGTGTGAAAGACACAGTGCTAGGAAGAGTGCTATGGAAATCTAAATAAAATAAGTAGAAGCAATAATTAAAATCTTCCAAGTCTTATAGGTTGCCCATGATATACATAGAACATAGAATCCTAATAGCACCGTTCTAAAAGGCACACATGCGATGCATGGCTACTTTGGGTTGGCACCTTATTTAGCAGTCAACAGCAATCTTTGACTGCTAATGTGCGGTATGCTCACCTAGGCGTGCATAATTATCTTTTTTAATTATTTTATTTTATTATTTTTTACAATTCTTCTAAGTTAAAACTTAAATGTTGATTTTTTCACTTCGTCGGTTCTAAATTAAAAATATTCGCTTGAAGTCTTGAACAAAGGAAATCTCCCAAAAATTCCAATTTATGTACTATTTAATATTTACATTTGGAACTTATCTTTTTGTTAAAAATTTTGAAATAAATATATAAATTTCCTATAAATTTGTTTTAGATGTTTGGAAAGTATTATTTTTTATTATTGAACGATTTTTCGATTGATTAAAAATTAAAATAAGAAAATGCCTTTCTATGCTTTTTTACACTTATGCATTGCCTATGTACGCCTGGACTTCGCTCATCGTCACACATTATACCTTTTAGAACACTGCCTAATAGAAGATCACTCTATACTTTATCTAGTCATGCTTGCCACGTTGTTATTTTTTTTAAATTGTATTATTACTACTCTTAGGCACTGGTGCGTGATTATACATGGCCAACATGGGTCTTGATGTAACCATATTTTTTACCCGAGCCAATGAACTGAATTTGAAATAAATGGTCATACTGATCCTGAGTAAAAGTAGAACATTCATTGTGGGATAAAGTGGGTAAGAAATGTTTCTTTATACGGATGCTTCTTTATACACACACATGTATGTCTGGATACGGAAGTAAGTATACAGACATAAAAATAAAAAAATAAAAATAAAAAGCGAAAAATTGTTTTATAGAAACTTGCTTTTTATGTGCACACTTAGAAAGATAAATACAGCTGCACACTTAGAAATATAAATACAGCAGCAAACTTGGAATTGTGCAATATCCTTGCTAATGCTTGATTTGAATTTTGCTCTAGCATCGAAATATTTTTTGTTAGATACTTCTGATCGATCCTGGGACCTTCTAATGTCAGCGATCAGGTTGCCTTGGTAGCACGTTAGCTGTTATGAAAAAATCCTCAAAGCTCCTTCCAGTAAGTGTTTATGTCAATCTTGTTCCAAAGTGCTAAATAGGCCATTACTTTTATCTTACATTTACCTGCCAAGGTTCTACCCGTTGTGTTGTTATGGAGTGGCTTTTTTATTTTTATTTTTGATTTTCATATATATTATTGATTTTGAAACTTCGTAGAGTGGTCAGCCTGTTAAATATTATTACTTATCAGAACATTTTTGTGCGTGACAATGGTGGAATATGCTTTACTGATTGATGATTCAAAACCAGTAAAACCTTGTCACGTGTCAAAATAATGTTCTGTATTGTAACTGATTTGATTTTTACTTTAATGAATGATAAGCAAGATAAAGTGATAGTCCAGAGATGTAATTGACCATTTGGCACTGTTTCTTGTATGAAATAATCACTTTGTAACGACCCGTCCTCTATGCCTAAACCATTGAACTTATACACTGTCCACTATGGAGAGCCTAGCCCATTTGACCCCTACCAGCTTTCTATCACGTCCACAGGACTCGAATCTATGACCTCTTATGAGAGACTTAAGTTTTTGATTGGATGTTTTCTAGGCTGAAGTTTATAAATATATAATTTCACTGTGGTCACTTGTCTCAGCGTGATCAACATTTTTGAAGGTATTGGAAATTATATTATGAGATTTTTAAAATTAATAGTTATGTTATTGCTGAAAAAGGCTAACAAGTATTCATAGATAGCAGTACTAGACTTGAACTCCTGTTGTGTTCTTGTTCTTTATCTTCTTCCAGAATTTGTCTCACTCTCACCCTTTTATTTGAGGTACTGATTAAGATATGCATAAACAACCTGTTGCATCCAATAATTGCAGGTGATAGGATGGTCTATGTGGTTTTCGGAGTATCTGTTTCTTGAAAGAAGCTGGGCAAAGGATGAAAACACATTAAAGGTATCTTTGAATGACGAAAATATTTTTATGTCCATCATGTACATGGATGTTCATACCAGACGGTTTTTTTCTATAATATGTGTTTTTTCACCATTTCCTTCTTTGACGGGTTGGCTTAATCTTAATTGGACTTCATGGACATCTCTTGCAGGCAGGTCTTCAACGGCTAAGGGATTTCCCTCGGCCCTTTTGGCTGGCACTTTTTGTGGAGGGTACACGATTTACTCAAGCAAAGCTTTTGGCTGCTCAAGAATATGCTGCTTCAGCAGGGATTCCCGTTCCAAGGAATGTTTTGATTCCTCGTACAAAGGTTTCCAACTGCACCTGCTTCTGTAATTAGAAAATTATCTAGTGCTACTACTACTGCTGTTCTATTTGTGTTTGAAGTTCTTGATTTGTTTCTTATTTTTCCTTTCTTTGTTTCAACAATTCTAAACATAGTGTTTCAATTTATTCTTCTGGTATCAAATATGAACTACCTTTAGATAGCATGTCAGTGAATGCGTTTCTGATGGAACATGGTATCACCTGTGATGCAGCTTTTTGACACACGAGTTTTTGATTATTTTTTGTGTTTGAAACAACAGTCATTTTCATCAGAATATCTTGCTTGAAATAGAGAGCCTTTCGTCATTTGTTTCTATTTGCATTGCTTGTCTTCTTTTAGATTTTCCTTTTTTTTTTCATCACAATATCCTGCAATTTACATTTTTCCTTGATCATTAAAATTCTGTTTTTGATTGCTTCCCCTAGACTCTAGTAAAGGCTCATCATTGACAAACTTTTTGCTCTGGACAGGAAGTTGTGATTGGCTATTAACCATTTTAATCCTGCTACTGCTTAATTGCTTTTCTGTATAAAGAGTTATTACACACGAGGATTCAATTTCATAGATCTTGCATAGACTTGAGAGTAACCTTTTGTGCTCCTAGGTTGTAAATTATTCAATATTACCAATAAGCTCTGTTGCTTGTTTTCAGGGTTTTGTTACAGCAGTAAGTCATATGCGCACATTTGTTCCGGCGATTTATGATGTAACAGTGGCTATCCCCAAAACTTCCCCTGCACCTACCATGATAAGACTCTTTAAAGGGCAACCATCTGTGGTAAGCCTGCAAAATCTGATAACTCCGAGCTCCATTGTTAAATCTTCTGATATGATGGCAATTGGATTTAGCTAGGGATTTTGCATTTATAAGAAGTAAACTTTCGGAGGAATAGAATCTGAAGAAACTTCTGTGCGCAATGGCAGCTAAACTAGTGAAACTACTATATATTCAGGATTAAAGTATATTTTGAAAAAGTATTGGTAGCTAAATGAAATTGCCCATTGTGTTATATCACTAAAGAAATAGCTTTGACGATCTGACCATCATGTTAGGATTGCTATTTTTTCCCTTTTCCCCAATTTTTAGTCCTTAATAATTTGCCATTTTGCAGGTTCATGTGCACCTCAAGCGACACTTGATGAAGGATTTGCCTGAAACGGATGACGCTGTTGCTCAGTGGTGTAGGGATGCCTTTGTGGCCAAGGTGCACACTTGTGATTTCCTTCAGTTTTGATATTTACTTCTTCTGATACTGTTGAACATTGGAGGAAGACTATCTGTAGAATATGAAGAATTTCTGCTTGCAACATTTTACTTGTGATGATCCTTTTTATGTATTTTTTTTCCTTGTGAATCAGGATAAATTATTGGACAAGCATGTAGCTGAGGATTCCTTCGGTGAACAATTGCAAGATACTGGCCGGCCAGTGAAGTCCCTATTGGTAGATTCATTAAATTAGTTCGGGCATGTTTTGGCTAAGCTTAAAAAGTTTGCTTACTAGGAAATAAAGTAGTTATATATAATATATATATATATTTGTTGAAAGTTAGAAATAAGTTACTTATTTTGACAGTAATTATTTTTACTTTAAAGTTATCCAAATATGTTTTGAGCTTAGCCAAACAAGCATCTCATTTATATTGGGTTTCATTGGTTGGGTCAAACTAATGGCTTGAAACAGGTGGTGGTTTCTTGGGCAATTCTACTCATATTTGGTGCCATGAAACTTTTCCAATGGTCCTCTCTTCTCTCCTCGTGGAAAGGTCTCACTTTTTCAGCGGTAGCGTTGGCCATTGTCATGGTTCTTATGCAAATCTTGATTCAGTTCTCTCAATCAGAGAGGTCGACCCCTGCCAAAGTTGCCCCAGGTAAGCCAAAGAACGGGGGAGAGACCTCAGGGACTCGTGAAGATAAGCGGCAGTGAGAGACAGCCAAATATGTATTTTGTAGCATGGTGTTTGTTCCTTTGTACTTGTATTTTTTTGCCTTAGCTACTTGATTATTGTATGGATAAACAAACTGCACATCAATTGATAAATTTGAGGTGACGAGAAAATTACTGGTTTTTTTGTGTATTTGCTATGAAAAATATTATGGGCATCATTTGATAGTTGTATTTTATTTATTTATTATTTTTTTTGGCAGTATATCATATTTGTTGAATCTTTAGCCAGTGTTCTATAAGGATTAAAATTCAAATTTTAAAATAAAGTCAAAGTTAATAAATAATTTTAATCACATATTTTATGTGATCTACAATTTTTTAGTTACATATTTCATGAATTTTTAGCAAAATTTATCAACAATTTAATTTTAATCTACATCAAATAAAACTCTGTGTGTTTATGGGTTTATGCAATTGTGTAAGATCTTCTTTGAGCAACAAACAGGAGAAAAGGCTCGTATATTTTTTGCTACAGAAAATGGCAATGCTGTTGGATTGACTCAATCAATGCCTTATGGTGCGGTGCGTATGATTGTCAATATTTTTCATGAAAAATGTATTTTTTCCATCAAAATTTTTACTTTTTGTGCTGTTAGATTGACAGTTTTGTTCATGAAAAATATTTTCCTATTTTTTTGTCACATGAGCATATTTTTCTTTGTTGGCTCTTTCAGGGCTATTCAAGAGCTACCAGCTCACTTGATACGTCTTTTCGAATGTCATATACATTTCGCAGGTACATCGAGTGATCGTGGAGGGTTGAAATGTTGTTTTTAGGCATAACGATATGAATGTCGTTTAAATTGTAAAGATACGATACCGAAGTGGTTGTAGTTATTATTTCAACTGAAACGATTTTGAACTTGTCAAATTTGTAATGAAAATAGATGGATGACGTTACATTATTTCACTATTTGTTACATAACGATATATATGTCGTTTTTTTTTTAAATTTGACGACTTTTAACTCGTTTTGGTTTATATAATATCTACAACGACTTCAAAATCGTTTCTTCGATAACATAACGATATGTATATTGTTATATCTAAAAATGACGTTTCAACCATCCTCAATCGCTCGACATATCTTTGGAGCAATCTTAGTCAAGAATATCGCAAGATTCAAAGTGGTCAGATAAAATAACATTTTCTGTTACCACCTTTTGAAATTCAAGCCATTGAATTTCTCCGATTTTTTTTCATGATTAACCAGAACATTAACGGATTATCACATACCGTATATGTAGTTTAGATACCAATTTTGAGCATACCGTAGGTGCAATATACTGTATATGCAGCTTACCGTATTTGCAACTTACCGTAAATGCTCACTACCGTATACGCAGCTTACCGTATTTACAGGTAGCTTACTGTATTTGCTCCCTACCATATACACAGTTTACCGTATTTGCAGGTAGCTTACTGTATATGCAGCTTACCGTATTTGATGACAACTAATCGTATTTGCAACTTACCGTATATGCTCCATACTGTATTTGTACATATTTTCTTTACCCTTTCTATATATATTATTTCCACATATTATATTTTCACATACCGATTTTACTCTTACACATACCAAAATTATAGAATTTTTTTCAGATTTTTATTTTTAGCATACATAGAAATTATCGCAGATTAATTTTAATAAATATAAATAGAACGATAACATATCTCAGTTCTATGCGTTACGCAAATCAGAGAAGCAGCGTGTAATTAATATTGAAACGATATGCATGTCGTTTTGTGTCTCAGGAACGAGTTCTAAATCATTTTAGTATCAATTTTAACTGAAACGACTTCGAAGTCATTATGTGTGGTAATGACGAGTTCTAAGTCATTACGAAAATCGGAGAAGTAGTGTGTATTGAACATTGAAACGATATACATGTTGTTTTGTGTCTCAGGAACGATTTCTAAATCATTTTAGTATCAATTTTAACTGAAACGACTTCGAAGTTGTTATGTACTGTCATAACGAGTTCTAAGCCGTTACACAATTCAAAGAAGCAGTGTGTATTAAACATTGAAACGATATGCACATCGTTTTGTGTCTAAGGAACAAGTTCTAAATCATTTTAGTATCAATTTTAACTGAAACGACTTGGAAGTATTTATGTGTGTTCATAACGAGTTCTAAGTCGTTACGCAAATTAGAGAAGCATTATGTATTTAACATTGAAACAATATGCATGTCGTTTTGTTTCTCAGGAACGAGTTCTAAATCATTTTAGTGTCAATTTTAACTGAAACGACTTCAAAATCGTTATGTGCGATCATAATGAGTTCTAAGTCGTTACGCAAATCATGGAAGCTGTGTGTATTTAACATTGAAACGATGTGCATGTCGTTTTGTATCTCGGGAATGAGTTCAAATCGTTTTAGTGTCAATTTTAATTGAAACGACTTAGAAGTGGTTATGTGTGGTCATAATGAGTTCTAAGTCGTTATACAAATCAGGGAAGCGGCGTGTATTTAACATTGAAACGATATGCATGTCGTTTTGTGTTTGAGGAACGAGTTCTAAATCATTTTAGTATCAATTTTACACTGTAACGATATGATAATGGAAGACAATGAAAATATGTCAGCTTGAACATGTAAAACTCAACAACCTGACATTGACAATATCCAAACTTTAAAGTTATAGAAGATAATGGAAAATATGTACATTTTAATTGTATTCAAACTCCAAAATAGTTGCTACTTGAAACCCAAAACAACCAAGTCACTACATAATGTTATAAAAATATAAAAAAAAATACGAGCAAAGCACAATCTACGGCTCGAAGTCCCAAGCCAACAACTCTGTAGTCAGTTTCTTTCTCCATACTAGTACGTAATCCGGTCGAATTGTATTTACGTCCATATTCACTTGTAGAAATTCTACGTATTTGTTAGCGAATATTCCGCAATCGAATCTACAAAAAAGTTGTAAAATTTTTGTATTAATTTTCAACACTGAAGATAATATGGTACTACTAATTATGAAATTAGTCATTCTTACCCATTCATTTGTTGGGGAACATCTTTCATGTTCATAAATTTGAAGTTCTCCGTACTATATTTGCTTTCATCGGTGACATGAGATTTTATTATCAATGGAATAACGACATGTAGAGGCAAAAAGTAAGCTTCCAACGCTGCCTGACGAATGTGACCATTTAGACTATCAAAAATAAAAATGGCCCGTTCCTCCATGTCGACTTGAACTGCAAACCAATGGTCGTGGGTCCAACATGGAAGATACAAATATCTACAGTCCTTCCAAGGTTTTCCGAGCTCTGAAGTAGCCCCTCTCACATAATTAATTTGACTCTTACTATATTTAAGCTCTTTACTGGATTGTAACTGACCATATGCATTAACAACAAATTGATAGAAAAAAGTGTCCAATATACAACAGTCTTACCGGAACAGATTGGGAAATTTGAAAGCTTTTTCTCGTATCTGGTATAGGGCCTCGTTCATGATCTACAGAAATAAACTAATCAATTCAAACTGAATTCTTTTGTGACATTATCGTAAAATCATTAAAGTTGGATTACTTACACTGTCATTAATCCAACAATCCTCATTCAAAAGATCCATCAAACTTTTTGTTTGAACATCATAAAAGCGCAAATGTATAATTTGATTGTGTATACAACAAAATCAACACAAAGTTATATTTAGGTGATACTGTCATTACTTTCACATGTAGTTGCAACTATATGTAATAATTTACCATGAAGATGTAGTTTCCATCCATTTGCAAAAAGTCTCAACCTTGATGGGATCTTCTTCTCGATAAGGATCGTATATATTGATGTCCGACAACTTTCTCCTCTTTGTCGGGTCCGTGTACAGAGAACACAATAAACGCGCTTTTCTGTTCCGACGATACCTTCGTCCTTTCGATGGATCGCATCCCACCTCATCGATTTTTACAATGTAGCATATATGTTGTAAATAACAACAATTAGAAGTGGAAAATTTGTTTCATTTGGATATAAAGATGTAAAACTGAACTTTGAATTCATTTTTACATACCTTGCATGGATTCATTTGTATCCACATCATGCTTTTTAGGCGTCACAATCCCTTTCTCCACGTCAGGATGCTCCTCCTCTAATATAATTCTTTTCCAACACTCTCCTTGACCATTTTTCCCTTTTCTTGCTCATCTATTTCATTCCCAGATTCAGCTTTTTTTTTTCAAGTCCTTCTCTCCTACATTTTTGCCTCTAACCTCCTCCTCTAACTTTGGGTCCTCCTCACGCGCTTCTACATTTATTTCAGCACCAGGCACATCTCTCAAATCATAAAATTCAGGCTCAGTTTCCAACTCATTCCCTTCTACATTTTTTCCTCTAACCTCCTCCTCTAACTTTGAATCCTCTTCAGGGAGATCTACCTTTCTTTTAGCAGCATGCACATCTGTCACATCATCAAACCCAGCTTCCTTTTCCAACCTATCCTTCGGTTCATTTTCTGGTACATAAGCTGTGCTACTAGTGGCACCATCAAATGTACTAGTCGCTGGATGGAACTGACCTGCCACAGCCAATTCAACTAACATGTCAACCTTTTTCTCCACCCAATCAAGTCGAGTTGATATGACTGCTTGCAGCCTTCCCTAAATTTTTTCCATTACTGTGGCTCGGCATCATGCTTAGCCTCGTCTCCTTTAGAGTGATGTGAAACACTCTCATCTTCTTCCACGATTGGTTTCAACTTTTTCCAATAGGCCTTTTCTAGTTCAACTTCGGTGAGAATCAATATGGAATTAACCTCTAACTGCAAATATTAAAATGTGCAAGTCATTAGTCATTCACGAAACTAATTCCACAATTTGTTCCCATTAAACTTAAAAAAGACAATTTTACCTCATCTGAATTCAACACGTTATCAATGACAGAAAAAATTAACCTCTTCGACATTTCCCAAGCGACCATTCTTGGTATTACATCTGGATATTTCGTACCAAACTTCATTCCCAAAGTTGGGATTGCTTCAAATGCCCAAATCTATTGCAAACAAACATTTAAATTATCTCACAACACGAATTTATATATATATAAAATACAAGTCAACCATTATAGCGAGAGGAAAGTCGTGCAATAAATATCGACAACGTGATTCGCTTTCGACGTCCGAACTTTTTAATTTATCTCCTATTTCACGTTTAAATATACTGAACGTGTATTCAAATGAAAACTTTCCCCATGAATACGTCTCGAACCTATCTAGATCGTCCACTAAGTCTAGCCACCATAAATCGATATATATATTTTCCTTTGTGGCCCACATGACGTACGCCAAGATTACGATCAATTATAACTTATACTTATCGCTCTTTCTTTTCTTGCAATTTACAAATGCATTGTAAAATACTCTTTCACGATTTGACACTCTTCCCCCAAGGTCTTATCTACGTCGTTATCATCACCCGCATTTAAGCCCGTAACTAAAATAAATTCTTTCAACCCAAATTTTACATTTTTCTCTCCTATCTTAAACCAAACTTCTTTTTTGTTGGTCCTTATTTTTTGCAATAATAATTGATGTATAACTTGCGAAGCCAACTTTAGGTCCTTCAACCTAAGAAGAGATCCGAAGCAGCTCTAACTAAGCTTGTTTTTGTAATTTGTATCGAGTTTCTCATACACATCTCACACTATTTGCAATCTACATCTCGTCGTAATCATAGCATCAACTTGAAGAATCTTCTTCATAGCACTGCAAATTATAAAATATGTACTAATATTAGAACTGATGATAGTAAAGCACATAATAACAAACATAAAAAACTAGAAATATTAAAACAAGTTACATAGTTCTTCTAGTTATTCTTGTAGAAGAATTTTTTTGCAGAATATGAAATTTAAGAGCAGGTATTATCATTGCTAACAAGAAACTATATTTTATTTGATATTCACTTATTAGGCATTCTTACCTGATTTGCTTTAGAGAACTTGTAAGTTTAATGTATTATAAATTGTGCACGCGGTGGCTTCATAGTTAAATGTCTCGCCTTAGTATAGTAATTTGTTTACAAATTCAACATTTTTCATTTTTTAAATCATTTAAACCTAACATAAAGAAGTCATTTTTTCTTTTAAACATTTGGTAAACATTTTAGAAATTATTCGATCTTTTCTGGAAGAATGAAAAGAACTCAATGCATTTTGAAGGAGAATGAGAAGAGATAGCTATCGACTTGAAGAAAAAGAGTTAAATGTCAAAAAAATAGTCAACTCAAACAAGAATAAGAAACCAAAGAATGGTGGAAATAAAATAACCATTAATCCAAAACTCGTAAAAGAGTTCATGGATGATGCTATTAAAAAATCAAGAATGATCTCTTCTACAAGCAGAGACTAGAAACAAATCAAACTTTAAACTATTAAGACAAAACTGAAATTGAGAAGCTCAAACTTTTCATATGTAAGAAAGAAACAGTTAGCTTTAGCCTTGCAAATCACAGATATGTAGCAATCATCATCATTAATTTTTTCAAGAAACTACACTATTAGTAGGTAGCAAACAAATGCAGAAACAAATCTACCAATAGGAAATCAAATATGTGAGATTTTTAATCCAATCAGCATATAAATTACAAAGTACTTATAGCCATGTGCTTAAGCAAATCATAATATGCAGATGAAAAGAAACATTAAAACAGTGGGAAATAGAACCATCATTTTTTTTCTTTTGACAAAACATTATGACTTTTCTCTTTTAGAAAAAGAGGAAATCAAAACATAACCTTTACAAGCACATCTGAGATCGAATATTGTCAATTTTGTGCCATAAAACTATCATAATGTAGATAAGTCGCTCAAAAATTTTGGCTACCGAAACCGTAAAGACCCTTCCATATATAATATAGAAGAACTCTTTATATATTATATGGCTTCCTAAATCTGAGAAGAGGGTGGGGAAACAAACTTCTACTACAAAATCGAGAGTGAAGAAAATAATACAATACAAATTCAACCACTCGAGAGATGTTAGCTGAAGGTGGTCTGACGAGTTTCAAAGTTCAGAAAATAGAGAGAGAGAGATCGACGGGCGAGCCTTAGAAATGGAAAAAGACAAAGAGTTTTGATTCTTGAGAACTCTAATTTGGGAACGAATTGGGTCCTTTCTTATTTAGTTTAGGAAAAAATTGAAAGGTTATAATTGTCTTTTCAAATATTTAAATATTTATATTTTATATTATTTTCAAAAATCTGGTCAAATGCTTTTGAACAAAAACCAATTGAAAAGCGCCCTTCCAAACTCATTTTCCCCATACTAAACCCTAGATTATATTTCTTTAGACACACTTGCCGTGCCCCAAAACCCTCTCGGAAGGAGCATTGCTGCTACAGAAACAGAAGGAATACGAAAGAAAACACTACGAAATTGCCAAGTAATCACAATGAGTCGGAGTTTGGGGATTCCGGTGAAGCTACTCCACGAAGCATCGGGACATGTGGTGACTGTGGAGCTGAAGAGCGGTGAACTTTACAGAGGCAGCATGGTGGAGTGCGAGGATAACTGGAATTGCCAGCTTGAAAACATCACTTACACTGCTAAGGTGTGTTATTCCTTGTTTATTATATATATATATAATTATGATTAATTTTTTTATACATTTCAGTATTTGTTACACTCTAGGTAGATATTATAGTGAAATTTTTAATTCTAATTCTTTGATAAACCTAAGTAGATCTTAATGATAGAGTGTAAAATAAGATGCGTAAGTGAGTGATTTATTTTCTTTGTTTTATATGCAAAATTGAAATCATGATATTATCTTGCTTCTCTGTCCTTAATTTTCTTTCAAGTTACAAATTTTAAGGAGTTCTTTTCAGTTTTGATTCCTGTTGTTTGACTATATTTGTTCTTTTGACCATGGCTATTACTGTTTATTCTCACATGCACACTTTTTATTTAGTTATTTGCATTTTATTTTTAATTTATGTTGTTTATTTGTTCTTATAATCGAGGTCAATCTTTTGCCGTGTAATGAAGTAGCGGTGAATAAATGGTAATGAAAATTATGATTCCTGTAATTTTTATAGCATCCTCAACAAGTTGAGACTTTGAATATTAACTATTGGACATCTTTTAAATTTTCATTTTTCTTTCATAAATCCTGCAAGAGAAAGGGAAGCACTTCTTTTTTGTACTGAAAAATTCCTGAGCTTCGACAATAATTTCTATGTTACCTTTTTAATTATGGTTGAAAGTTCCAATTTAATTTTGAAAAGTATGGATAATTTTTTCTTCCTTGCTTGTCCTTACTTGTCTTTCCATGTAGTAGTATTCTTCTTATTTAAACAGTCTTTGGGATTTTATTTCAACACAGAGGTGATGTAGTTATTGTGATGCATTATTTCATTGGATTCTTAAAAATGAAGCCTGCTTAAGTTCTTACAAGTTTCTTAAACTATATGTTTGTTTGTTGTGTGTGTTTAGTTGTCATTTTTCCATGTTTAGCTCAATAATTTTTTTCTTTCATTTTAGTTTTATACCTTTTGGAATTTCTATTTGTCTTTTTCGAGTGTATTTTGTATGTTGTCTACATGAATTGCAATGACTTGGTGTTTCTTCAAGTACTCTTAAAACTAAGTAATTATTCATATTAGATAAAATTAAAATGATGGGCTTCCATGCAGTTATAGTTAAAATTGGGGAGCTGTGTTAGGGGAATTTAGGCGTAGCACCAACAATATAAATACTAAATAGGTGAGGAGCAGGTCTGTAGAATCATCCAGAAAATTGAGAGTAGTTTGGGGAGAGAGAGAGCCTCTTGAAAGCTCACATTCTATTGTAATCCTTTCCTTTGTTCCATTCAGTACAAATATATGAATACAAAATATAAATCTGTTAATCTCAATTTGATTACAGAAAACAATACAAATTCAGCTACAAATTAGCATGATCTTGTTAGTATCTGTCTAAATGAATTGCAATGACTTGGTGTTCTTAAGTATTTATAGAACTAAGTAACTATTGATATTAAATAAAAAAATGAAAAAGAATGGTAAACTAGATAGTTGAAATACTTAAATATTACAAAGTGATTGTTGGTGCAAAATATTGAAAACCCATAAATTTCTTAGTGGTAAAGTTATTTTTTAAAGTTTTCTTGCGTTTCTTGATATCAAGAAGAAGTTTCTTTAGTTTATACTTCCAACTCTTTGATTGCTTATTTTGGTCAATTTTTACAGGACGGGAAGGTCTCACAACTCGAGCATGTTTTCATTCGCGGCAGCAAAGTCAGGTACCTCGTAATTTACTGTTAGAAATCGTTTTCTTGCATCAATCTTTAATTCTTTTTTATGTTTTTTCCCTTATCTTTACTATGGCTGAATTTTTACCAGATTCATGGTAATACCAGATATGCTAAAAAATGCTCCAATGTTCAAGCGTTTGGAAGCTAGAATCAAGGTGCCCTTTTATTATGCCCTTGCCTTTTCTTCTTATTTGCTTTCACTGTATACAGCCTTGCTGATTTTTGTGAGTTCCCCTATGAAGGGCAAGGGTACTGCACTTGGAGTTGGACGGGGACGTGCTGTTGCCATGCGAGCTAGGGTAAGTTACCCAGCATCCCCCCTCTCCTTCCTTTTGGCAATCTGATATCTATCGTCCAAACATGGTCTAGTTATTGGGTGCTATAGCTAAACTTTCCTTTTAGCATGAGCATCTTGTACTATTTGCTTCCCATATGCCTAGTAGTTACATGACAGGTAGATTATTTCTTTTGGGCTTTTATAGACATGTAAATCGGGTCTTACTTGGTGAATTCTTGCATCTGGGCTCTGGCTATCATAGAGGTATACACTGGGGACACGGCCAGGTTTTGAGGCATCTGGTCTGGCGTGCGTAAAATTGTCTGGGCTCGTCCCATTTGCTCATCACCATGGTCTGTGCCAGTCTGGCGGGTTTGACCCTTTTTCTTTGATTTAAGTACAGGCCTCTATGTGGGCCTCCACAGTCGAGCTGGCACAGGCTGTGCATAGGTGGTGCTTTTCACTCCTGCTGGGCAACATTTTGAAACTCCTAGCCCATTGATTTCAGATATATTTTTCATTTATTAATCCATGATTTTATCTGTGTCCGTTGGTATCAAAATGCTCGTCACTAGAAAAAGATATGAACACATTGCTAAATAACTACAATAACCACTACAAAAAAATGTAAACATAGCTAAATACCCACAAATTGTTTCACTGTCAATATTTTTACCCAACTTCAATATCTCAATTGGCAGGCTCAGGCTGCTGGTCGTGGTGCTGCGCCTGGCAGGGGTGCTGTTCCACCAGTGAGGAGGTGATCACTTCCCTGATTTGGTGTCTCACTTCGAAGTGTCGTCGTGCACAAGTGATAATCCTTGTTTCCTATGATAAAATTGTCAGTGGTGTACAATGAATTAACCTTCTTCCAACGATTACTTAAGATGGTTTTCAATTGGCTGTAATCGCAACTTGTACCAACTCTTTAGAAGTGACTTAAATTTGTGGGAGCTCTTAATATCCTCATTTTTATCTACCTTGTGACTTTTTGGAGGTAAATAAATATATCAACTATACATTGCGTGTTTATTGGCTGTGATTTTCTCGTATTTGAGTTTTAGGTACCACAGGTTGCACTATGGTAAGTTCACCAACAATTCCCACGTCAAAGTTCAAAGTTCTTTTATAGGTTTTTTAGTAATTTTACCCACGTCAACAAACAATTTGGAGTATCTCGACTTTTTCAAAATTAGTTTAACTCAAATAGCAATTGATTTGAAGCTCAGATTGTGTTACATATTTAAGAGAATTATTTCCGTTAAATTCTCTCTGTCTCTCTCTAACTCTATCGCAGTAAACACATTGATGCTATCCTTTAAAAGTACTTTGAGAATGTCATGCTCAAGGACAATGTTGTGCTTTGTTTGTACAAGGAAAATGCCTTATCGAGTGAGTATACATCATAATGTGAATTCGATAGAGTAACAAATTTATCAATGTATGCTCGAAGTCTTGGGAAGTATGGACCACAATCCATCGGAATCAAGTTTTCTATCGCTTTTAACTCTGTGTGTATAGGCTCGTGTCAATAATTTCGAGGCTTATACTTCAATACGTTCTTGCTTATGAGAGCTTAAGAGTAATTATTCAATGCGTCGATAATTTAGAAAGTAAATTTCAGAGATATTCATTGAGTGCACTGTACCAATGCGCGTAACGACCTTCTTTGCTTTTATGGTTCAATTTTCAATTTGGATACTTGCAACTTAAAAAGTTACAAAAAAGTTACAACCTATTGAAACTTTTTCGATTCAAGACACAATACTCGAGTCGGGTGTAAATACAACTAATGGGCTACAAGTGAAAACTTATGGGCCTCCCCGTCTTTAGCCTAACACTATCATCAGCCACCACCAAAACCCTAACCGCTAACTCCCAAATAAATTCTAATTTCTCCTCCTTTCTCCATTACACAAAAATCCTACCCTCTGATCAGTAAAAGTTCAAAATTTTCCTCGCCGCCATGGCTGATGTTCAAGTTTCGCACTCTGAGAAAAAGAAGAAGAAAAGCAAAGGCAAAGAATCCGACCAACTTGAAAAACCCACTAACTCGACGCAGAATACCAACGAAAATGATGCTTCCATTGATTACTTGATAAAGCCTCAAAGTTATGCTCCCTCTATTGATACTTCTCAGTGGCCAATACTTCTGAAGAACTACGACAAGTTAAATGTACGCACTGGACACTATACTCCTATTCCCTCTGGTTACTCCCCTTTGAAACGCCCTTTACCCGAATATATTAAGTATGGGGTGATGAATTTGGATAAACCCGCTAATCCGTCGTCCCATGAAGTTGTGGCATGGATTAAGCGTATTTTGCGGGTTGAGAAAACGGGGCATTCGGGCACTCTTGATCCGAAGGTTACTGGGAATTTGATTGTGTGTATTGATAGGGCTACACGTTTGGTTAAATCCCAGCAGGGTGCTGGCAAGGAGTATGTGTGTGTTGCTAGGTTGCATTCTAAGGTGCCTGAGGTAGCGAAGGTGGCTCGGGCACTGGAGACACTGACGGGGGCGGTTTTCCAGAGGCCTCCTTTGATTTCTGCTGTGAAAAGGCAGCTTAGGATTAGGACTATTTACGAGAGTAAGCTGCTCGAGTACGACGTAGATAGGCATCTGGTTGTGTTTTGGATATCATGTGAGGCGGGGACGTATGTGAGGACTCTGTGTGTGCATTTGGGGCTTTTGTTGGGTGTGGGAGGGCATATGCAGGAGCTGAGGAGAGTGAGGTCGGGTATAATGGGGGAGAAGGATAATATGGTGACGATGCACGATGTGATGGACGCTCAATGGGTTTATGATAATTATAGGGATGAGAGTTATTTGAGGAGGGTGATTATGCCATTAGAGGTTCTTTTGACTAGTTATAAAAGGCTAGTGGTGAAGGATACTTCGGTGAATGCCATTTGTTATGGCGCGAAGTTGATGATCCCGGGGTTGCTGAGATTTGAGAATGATATTGACGTTGGAGGGGAAGTGGTGTTGATGACAACTAAAGGAGAGGCAGTTGCATTGGGGATTGCGGAGATGACAACTGCAGTGATGGCCACTTGCGATCATGGAGTGGTCGCCAGGATTAAGAGGGTGGTGATGGATAGGGATACATACCCGAGGAAGTGGGGATTGGGGCCAAAGGCATCAATGAAGAAGAAGTTGATTGCAGAGGGGAAGTTGGATAAACGTGGGAAACCGATTGAAACTACCCCAGCCGAGTGGTTGAGGAATGTGGTTTTGCCTACTGGAGGCGACTCTACGGTTGCTGGCCATGCAGCAGCTGCAGAGCCACAGCCGGCTACTGATGAAGTGAAAGTGGATAGTGCTGTCATTGAGGTTGAGAAGAAGGAGAAGAAGAAGAAGAAGAAACATAAAGAAATTGATGGAGATGAGGGGCAGAAGCGCAAGCTAGATGAGGTTGATGGTAGCCCTGCACCAGATGCTGTCGTCAAGAAAGCAAAGGTCTCCTCAGAAGTAGAGGATGAGACTGTGGAAGTGGAAGTTGAGAAGAAAGAGAAGAAAAAGAAAAAGAAGAAAGAGGGTGTCAACGGAGCTGTAGCTTCCGATGGTGAAAAATCAAAGAAGGATAAGAAGAAGAAGGAAAAAGTGAAGGAAGATGTCAGGGCATCAGACGAGGAGAAATCTGAGAAAAAGAAGAAAAAAAAGAAGCACAAGGATGCAGAGAATGGTGACTCTGCTGTTGCTGGAAATGATGATGGAGCAAATAAAAGCGAGAAGAAGAAAAAGAAGCACAAAGATGCAGAATAGTAGATTCAAGGGCCTGAGTCTGGGTTTCAAATTTTCAATCAAGGAATGGCGCTGTCGCGTGGCAGACTCTTCTACATCATCAGCATTACTGTGCGTTTTTAATCCTTTGACTTGTACTTTAGCTCCATTACTCGCAAATCTTGATTACATTTGTATGTTTTGCTAAAAGTTATTTAATTGTTTTGTATTTTGAGACCTGCAATGTTTTTCTTTATTAAATTGCGAGAAATTTAATTTTGATTTCCTCAAATTCTTCCATCTATTTGCCAAATTTTTATTAGTAACTTTCCGAGAAGTATATGCTGATTAAGGCTTATTAGTTGGCAAGAGTGATTTGGTGTACTAATATCATAAAGTGAAGGATTAGAATGTTATAGTTTTGTCCTTACTTTATTTTACATATTTTTATCCAATACAATTTAGAGCAAAAGGCAAGATTCTAGAACTTTCTCTATTTTTATTGATGTGCCTAGGTAGGAAATGTTTGTATCATCATATGAAACACGGATTATAAATTCAAAACACTTGAAAACTTATTAAGAATGAAAACACAAATAGTCTCTAATTCTAATTTTCTTGCAGCCATTACTGGGTATTAAGAGAGTAATTAAAGGTACTTTATGACTAAGCAATAAGCATTATTAGTTGTGGCTGCAATCATATGCCAAAATTGGATACTCTTGAAAGTTTGGTCATGCAAACTTTTCAAGGCAATTTTTTTGTAATTGAGTCCATTTTTGATGGCCATGCATTGCCTCAAGTTTTGCTAGTATTCAAGTTATTTTCTTGAAGTTATGTCCTCGTTTGGCCCCTCATTTTATCCAAATTTTACTTGTTGAAATAGTGTTTTTTTGAAAAATGTTTGATTGTAAAAAAATAAAAAGTTTTTGATTTGCGTATAATATTATTTTATGAAAGATTTTGTGGTTGAAAATAAAAGAGAGAAAAAGAATGAGAAAGAGAATGGAGGCCAAACGGGGACTATATTGGTATCATATATAATAATCAGAGAAAAATAAATTTATCATGAATTGAAGTTTGTTGATTTTTCAATTATAAAAAAATTTAAATATATTTAAATGAATTAATTTGTCTTTCCAACACTCGCTTAGATCACATGATATCAAAGTAGAAGATAAAAAAATTTGCTTCCAAAACTAACAGCCACTTATTTTACAAAATTTGTACGATTGTGATTCTCACATGCGAGAGAACTTATTGAAGAACCACTGTCACATTGCCACTTAAATCGTGATACATTTGGAAATAACCCTTTTATCACATCATTTGAACTTCAAATAAGCTAAAATACATTATTCTATTGCAAATAAAATTTAAATTAAATGGATTGGCTTCTAATTCGTAAATTTTGTTAATCATAATATCAATCTCTTCGACTCTTCTAAATATAAGCAAAGTACGTTGGAGGATGTTTCCATATAAATTTATTCATGTTTAACATGGTTAAGCTTGAGAGTTTGGTCTTGCATCAAACCCTTGAGGTGAAATGTCAGTTTGGCTACCTAAACAAGAAAAAATAACTTTTGTTTTTGGTCTGCAAATAGGTGATTAAACGTTAATTGAATGAATTTTAACACATTATCTCTCTTTCTTGACAATTAAATATCTACCTTTATTTCGTGTCACAAGAAGAATCAAAATTTTGTAGTAACTTCAACTTTGTTGCATAATTAATCATTTCGTTTATGTATTAACGGATTAGCTGATAAACAACTTTTATGTGGACGATAAAATAAATAATAATAAAAATAAAGAAGATAACCAACCAAAGGTACATTCTTCACCTCTCTCAACTGGAAGCAACCCGTTTTCCTTAACTTCCCTTCCTTTCTTTTTTCATATAAATACAAAAACAGGCACTCAACATTCAGTAGAAACATGCCAACCTTAGGCATTTTAGCAATGATTTTATATAAATAACATGCAAATTTGAACACCGGCTGTAACATTTAGGTGAAGAACGGGTGAAACCGTTCAACTTTTTAAAAGAAATTCAAACAAAACTCAAAATGCCAAGCTACTTACGTTTGGATGATTTTTTCCGGCTTTCGAGCTTTTTTCGAGCAGCTTCGAATTCTTCTCCACTAGGTTCAGGGACTACATCGCCGCCTCCATATTTTTGAACAAGAGATGATAACATTGAATCAACCTTGCCTTTCCTCTCATTTTGTCGCTTTGAGATTATAGCATATAAATCCTCTGAATTTTCTTTCGACCTGAAAAGGTAACAGTTTCAAGCATGGTAGTAATCAAGTTGTCACACCAAAATAAATATAAAAAAATTCCTAAAACTATATCAGAGCCCTGAATCAAGACTTACTTCTTTCTCTGTCTCAATGGACTTGTAGGTGGTTTTGTTTCTGACACCTGTTTAGCCCATTTTTCATATGATTTGGTGGACCTGAGCTCTCCTGCAAATACATTTATGCTCGAGCTAATGAGAGTAATTGACGTATTAGAGAATGAGTGAGTTATTTAA